ATAGTGTGCAGCATAAGGACGGAGGAGATACTGAAGGGAAACACAAGAAGTTATGAGTGGACTAACAGGAAATTTTGAAACACCTGTTGGTACAGAAACAATTGATGGCTGCTAATATTATCTCCAATCTAGGAAATTTGGGGCTATTTCTTCATTTTTTGTATCTAATTTTATATATCTTTTTATCTCTCAATGCCTGCCTTTTATACTTCAATGAAAAGACATTATCTGAAGTACTCAATTATGGAGGGGTTTGCTCTCTGTTCTTGGTGTTTAAAAATTAATTAATAAAAAAATGAATAAATCAAAACCTGCCAAAATCAATAGCATATTTAAACCAATTCTCAAATCTTTCCAATAACTGACAAAAATAACACTGTAACATAGTAAATTCAACAATTACAACAAATATTTCTTTCTATAATTCAAATTCCATATCAGCCTGTCGGGTAAATACTGGGCAGTAACAACTGATGACTCCTTAGCGCAAATATAAATAGACTAAAGAAACAAAAATCATACAAATTTTACTGAACAAAATTTCAATCCAAACATTAATTGTCCATTAATTAGAGCAATTCGTATACTGTAATGTACACACACCAGTATCATTAAACTCAGCTAATGTGAAGAGAACAACTGATGCTAACATGTTAACAGTACAGGAAAATTTATGTGCACAAAATGCAGAAAAAATTCTTTTCATAATCAAATATTGATATATTTTACAAAATTTATAATTAAATTTATTAATTAATTATAACCTCAAAACAAAAACATTTTCAACATTCAGGGAATGATGAATTAAGAAAATAAATTTGTGTTCTTCAGTTTGGTACCTAGAAACTGAAATTTTCATCTCGGCATTGAAATACTGCACCAACAAAGCCTGAGAAAGCACACCCTGAGATTTTAAAATAATTACTTAGGGAGCTAAGGAGAAATGTAAATACTACTGTACAGTATTTGTCCAATCGGTTTTATTTGTCAAAACATTGAGTTAAATTTTATCTGTGACCTGCTTTGGAACGAAATTGTGTCTTCTAAAAATCGAGACTAGGACAGAGATGATTTACAAAATTACTGGTGAAATCAATGTTGAGGGCGAGGGTGAGTTTTAGTTCCTGTTAGCTGTCATTTCCAAAATGTCTTTGTCACCTCAGGCTTCCTTGAGAAACTTGATAGTTGCCACCAGTTGTTCTTCGCAGAACAATTCTTTCAGCTTTTAGTACTGGCTTTTGTGGCGACTCTGACCCAGGACTCGGTTCACGACTTGATCGACAAATACTTATCTCATTGTCAACGTTTTCAAACTCGCGGTCAAGAGATTTACTTGTTGAATTTATCTCTAGGTTGATACGTCTTCTAGCTCCTCTTGTTTCTGGTGAGCTGACTATAGATGCAACATTTGAGTTGTCTTTCATTCGATGGTTGTTGAGATCATTGTTTACGTGATTTGTTTTTATCCGTTTCTTTGGATAGCAGTCTTCCTCTCGGTGTAAACTGTCATATGAATTAAGCGGTGATGATGGGACACGTATTTTAAGTTTTGTCGGGGACTTCTGGATGCACTCAGCCACTCGTATGATAAGGTTTGGTATTCGTTGATTTTTTTCATTTTCAGCTGATTGTGGGATGGGTTTGAAGTAGGAGTCAATTTTCTGGCTATTATTATGAATGTATCCGTTCCTCCGTGGCTTTTTGGCAAGTCCAGTTTGATTCAAGTTTTGTGGTTCTTTTCGTTTTATCCCTTCTGGTAATCGCTTCCCGAGGGTTTTCTCAAGTATAGGTGAGGTTGTTTCTTCCAATTCGGCATCAATGTGATCCTCATGATATGGATCGTCATTGGCATTGGTTGTTAATGTGTTATTAGTCTTTGTTTGCTGTTGTGTCTGAACTCTAGTGCTTCGTCTTAGTACTTTTCTTTCAGCAGATTTTTGTTTTGGTTCTTCCTTATCTGAATTAACCTGTGACCTAGAGGTTTCACTACCACTACCACTGTCACAGGTGTGAAAGCTTTCTGAAGAATCAGAACTGGATGAAGATGAGTTCCTGTTCTGACTGGAGTTGCTGTTCCGAGATGAGGATGAAGAAGAGGAGGATGACTGGCTGCCACTATCAGACTCTCTTCCCGACAGTCGAGAGCTTAAGTGAGAATGACGATCCTCCTCACTGTCTGATGATGATGTATTTTCTTCTTTTGTGGGAGACAGTGCAATTGCTGGTTGCTCCTTCTCTTCTTTCACAATTTCATTCTTTATTTGTTCAGATCTAACCAATGCAGGAGGTGTAATAATTTCTGTTTTTACAACCCTTGTGTCATCCTCACTTTCTGTTGATGATCTGTGCTCTTTTGGTGGTGACTGCTTAGTAACTGCATTGCGAACTGAACGACGTAAACGCTTAGTTGCTCGTGGAACTGAATTTATTTTTACATTGTTTTCAGCTGAAGATGAATCTTCATGGGCAAGAAAGTCAGTGATTGTTTTTCTGATTCCAAAGTGACTCTCACTGGATGAGCTCTCTTCTTCCAGTTCAAGGTGGACACTTTGCTGTGGTGATGCTACATACCCACATGATAATTCATTAATTGTTGTGTCAGAAGCAGAGTTTGGCAGATGAACAATATTTTCTTGTGAACTTTCAAAATTATCTGTTGGAGTTCTATCTGTTGGAGTTGTAATTGGTTCCAGGATTGGAGGTTCAAGAACTGGGTGTTCATCGACTGGAGTTTCACTGACTGTAGGTTCATCAAATATGGGTTCCTCTTGTAACAATTCATGGATCAGAGGTTCCTTTGAAACCGTATTGTGGATTTGTCGCTCAAGGACTGGAGACTCCTCAGGAACCATTTCATGTTGTGGATGTTCCACTGGAACCATTTCATGTTTTGAAGGTTCCTCTGGAAACGTTTCATGGTTCGGAGGTTCCTCTGAAACTGTTTCATGTACTGGAGCTTTTTTTGGAACTGTTTCATGAACTGGAGATTTCTCTGAAACTGTTTTACAAATTGGAGGTTGATCTGGAACTGTCTGAATAACCTCAATAGCTAAATGATCAACTTTAACTGGCGATTCCAAGTCTGTTTTGGTCCCAACTGTTCTTTTGGATCGGCGCAGCAAACGTGGCATTTCAGTTTCTGAGGCGGGAAAATTTGCATTTGATTTAGCAGACATGAGTCGCCTCTTTGGCTTCAGGGGTAATGCTTTGCGAGTTCTTGAAATGCGAGGCTGCACCTGTACCTCGTGGTCTACATGGTTAACTTTAACATCAATGCTACAAGAATCATTTTTGCCACTGTCTATTACTTTTTCTTTCGCTTTTTTTGCTGTATTCTGAAACAAATCAACATTATCCTTAATTTTCTTATTAACTTCCTCATCAATGTTCAGCTTTGTATCATGTTTGCACAAATTCACAGTAAGATATTTAATACTGTCCTTATATATTAATTCTGCCTCTGTATGTTTATCTTTATCATCAATTTGGATCAGAGATTCTTCTTTTAAAGACGAGTCTTTTGAAGACGAGTCAAGTCTTGCACTACACTTCCTTCTTGTTGGACGAGCAACATATTCATCACTATCTACTTCCTTATATGTATTTTCACGTTTCCCAACATTCGATATAGGGTTTGAAGTTATTGGCATCGGAGCCTCTTCTTTTGAGGACGAGTCTTTTGAAGAGGAGTCAAGTCTTGCACTACTGTTTTTTCGTCTTGTTAGACGAGCAACATATTCGTCACTATCTATATCATTATCTATATTTTCACGTTTCCCAACATTCGATATAGGGTTTGAAGTTATTGGCATCGGAGCCTCTTCTTTTGAGGACGAGTCTTTTGAAGAGGAGTCAAGTCTTGCACTACTCTTTTTTCGTCTCGTTGGACGAGCAACATATTCGTCACTATCTATATCATTATCTATATTTTCACGTTTCCCAACATTCGATATAGGATTTGAAGATATTGGCATTGGAGCCTCTTCTTTTGAAGACGAGTCTTTTGAAGAGGAGTCAAGTCTTGCACTACTGTTTTTTCGTCTTGTTGGACGAGCAACATATTCGTCACTATCTATATCATTATCTATATTTTCACGTTTCCCAACATTCGAAATTGGGTTTGAAGTTATCGTCATTGGAGACTCTTCTTTTGAGTACGAGTCTTTTGAAGAGGAGTCAAGTCTTGCACTACTGTTTTTTCGTCTTGTTGGACGAGCAACATATTCGTCACTATCTATATCATTATCTATATTTTCATGTTTCCCAACATCTAACCGAAGTTTGGAAGAGTGTACAACTTCAGTTGTTTTCTTAAGTCTCTTGTTGATGTTGTTTACCACCCTTTGGGGAATAAACTTCTTCTCTGCCTTAGTTCTTACAGGCATTCTAATACTGTTGTTCTTAGCACATTTTGATTCAACAGGTTTTGAAATACTACAATTCTTTTTTAAACTATCATCTTTTTCTACAGTACTTTTTTCCAATTGCATCTGTTTACGAGGTGGTCTCTTTTTCTCGGCACAACTATCATCACTCTCGTTGTCCATAGTAAAAGATTTGTTTTTCACAATTTTATGATTATCTGACATTTGTCGGGACCTACGGCGGTTCCTCTTTGGCTTTCGATCACATTCAATACTATCATCACTCTCACAGTGGTTCACGTTATTAGTATTACTCCCCCTTGTATATTTTATGTCTTCAAAACTATCATCACTTTTCCCTTCAATCCATTCCTTGGTCCGTAATTTCTGATTATTTTGGTTTCGCCTTATTTTTCCTAAACTTAATATTCGCAGATCTGATGAAAGATTGCTGTCACTGTTATTATCAATATACAACTGTTCTGATTGGCCAAAGGACGTGTCATTATCTGTGTGTTTTGTCCGTCGCAAAAATTCAGTTTCAGATAAAGATTCATCATTTTCTTTTTCAACTTTAACCTCTTTTCGACTGCTAGATGATTTTCTTCCAGTACAAATGTTTTCGTTATTTTCTTTTGCATCAATTTCACGTAATGCCTCAGTACTCTTGAGGCGAGATGATACGTCAACTCCATTTGTGCAGTTCAACTCAACTGTGGATGTGATACAATTTTTCACATCTTTGCTAGAAACATTGTCAGAGTTCTGTTCATCTTGATCAACATTCTTGTTTGAATTTTTTGTAAACTGTCCGTTTAAAGTCCGTTTCATACGCTTTTTACGGTTTATTACACCAGTGTGTGACCGACAGACTTCGCGTTTTGTATTTTCAAAGTCTGAATCACTATTAGTACCAAATTTTTCTATTGAGCATTGTTTTTCTTCCTCGCTTTCCAAGTCACTAACGTCAGCATCAGAATGACCCAATGATCTTTCCTCATCACGCTGACTAACTGAATCCGTATCATGATTTTGCAAAGGCTTATGGTCTGCTTTTGTGGAATTCACGTCAGAAGTGTCGCCGTCGTCATCATCAAGCCCACGGGGGGTAGAGCACTTTTCCAATTTGTCTAGTCTTTTGTCAACACGTTCTTTACTACTAAGTTCATCTGCATTAACAAATAAGTGCATTTCTTCTTTAGTCAAATCACTTGTATCGCCATTGAACACTTCGCATTGCTTCTTGAATATTTGATGCTTCAGTTTGAGGTATTGCTTGCTTAGCTTTTCACGCTTTTGCACCATGTAACACAAATTTCTAACCTACAATAACAAAAAAGATATTGTTTGAATATTTCAATCTCCAATCATTTAATTTATATCAATTGCATATGGGACTTGCCAACCCAAAACCAGCATACTCTCGCTAAATGTTAATCTCAGAAATTAGCATAAGATTGTCGCAGTACTGTATACTTTAGTACATAGAACCTGCAATACTTTTAATTATAACTTTGGGAATAGTAAGTTGATTCCAGAAAATGACCTATCATTTTAAAGCTTATAATGTGGAGAGTATGAATATATCAAAAAGCCACTTTTCTTGTTTTGGTCACTGATGGTAATTTTGGCATGGCAAGCCCCATATAGTTTACACACATTTGTGGCAAAGACAAGCCAAACCAGTCACTCGTCGCAAATCCTGTTTTGGAGATAATGGCCAAAACATGCTGGAATGTCAACATTTTGGAAATCTATTTTATTGCACTAAACTAACCTTTATATATCTATACATCATGCTATGCTGTTATTTTCCTCATTTTCAATGTTAAAACAACATTTTTAATGACTTGGTGATGGTTTATGCCTAAGAAATGCCTAAAATCGTAAACTTTGAAGGCTGATTTCTCAAATATTGTTCTTTAAACAGCTGTATGTTTAAACTCATGTAACTTCATAACGAAGTGTTGGATTTAAATGATTATTTTACCATTTTATAGCTCACATTGTACTGTTAAACCCTATATTAATAACTAAAAATTGATTTTTCCGACGAGTGACTGGTTTGGCTTGTCTTTGCCACATTTGCTGCTGGAGGCGTTGCCTCAAAATAACTTTCATGGCACACATTTTTAATATTTTTGCAGGCCTGCTGTCAAGTAAGGCAGATTCTGGGTCACCAGAACCAGTCCAGCTGGTCGCACTTTCACTGGACCATTTTTTAGGTCAAAAATATAAATAAAAATAACTCCCAACAAAATAAACCTTTCATACTACTGTACAAGTGCTAAATTGTTTGCGTGATTACCATTTCAGCTTTTGAAATTTTGCAAATATATATCATGAAAAATTCAACCTTGAGCCAGACCACTAAGAAATTGCTTCCTATGCTTCTGGGATTATACTTCACACCTAAACACAACTTCACTCTCTAACTCTTTTATTGATAATTAGTTTATGTAAAGCACCAAGTTTGTATGTTTTTTATCTTGTGGAAGAGTCAGAAGTTTATCTGAGCTGCTAAGATCAAGAAAATATTTGGAAAAATTGTTTAAAATTTTTCTAATGGACAATTATCTGAATTAAATTTCAATTTTGATTTTTAATATATTTATATCAAATAAGCTCTCGTCATTCTATACCAATAATCAAGAAGATAAAAAAAAAAAAAAAAAACCTTCCGAAACAAATATCTTTAATTTCTGATGTTGAAAGACTTACCCTTTCAAGATCTTGCCGTAGATGGACAAACATCTTTAGTCGTGCCGTCAAATTGTACTCCTCATTCTCACTCGGCGTCTCATCTTCCTTGCGAAATGAGATCAGCGGTTTGTTAAAGTTGGCCTGCAAAAATTCACAAATAATATTGTATGATTTTTTTAAAACTTTCATTATAATAATTAACATTAGCAAACTTATGACAATGTCTGAGTTTTAACGTCTCCCATTAGTCACAGGTGTCTCCCAGAATACAGACAGCCTCCCAAATCTCCAACAAGCAAGCATTATTATTCCAGAAAATAACCCAACTCATGCAAATTTACGATATTTACATATTTTTTTTTACTACTGTATTTGGTTTCTGGAAGTATACATAAAATTAAATCCTGTCCAGACTGCAAAATTTCATAGTAAGTAACTGTTGTATTCCCATATATAGTCATGATGTGATGTCATCATGACCATATTCAGGCATGTCACATGTTTTGTCC